CGCCCACCAAGGCTGCCGATTGTCTACAAGAGTCTAACTCCAGCAAGAGCAGCAGCTGGGCGGACACAGCTGCAGCACCGCCCAGTGCAAACAGGAGGGGACGCCTGCAGGCAGGGTAAGTCACTTGAGGAGTCTCTTGAAATCTCTGCTCTCTGGAACAGAGGTACAACATTCTGTCATTACCTAAAAGAAATTATTTCCCAGGTGGGTAGTGGATAAGTGGGAACTTAAAATGTCGGAAGCTCAGGACTAATACAAGATGGTGCCATTAGCCTTCCAAACAGCAGCTGATATAATTAATAATAGATTTCCTAATGAAATAGCAGGTGAAAATGAAAATCCGCTTTCAAAGGAGCTTCTCTTTCCTGGTGTTCTCAAGGACCCACCAATGCTCAAGTAATTAACTCCAAAGAGGAAAAGCGAAGGCAGGAAAGGAGGCTCGCAGCACTGCCTGGCAGAGTGGACAGGTAGGCAGCCTGTTGCCATGGGGTCATAAGACCTCACTGAAGAGCAAGCAGATTTTGAAGTTAGGCAACATATATCCATATACATTCAAATTTCGCCTCACAGATTCCGGCTCATTCAAAAAAAAAAATTGTCCAATAACATGATCAAGAGCCACATCTTTGCCGGGGCTTTAAGATAACTGGTTTTATTTCCAGGAGTGTGACCTTAGGACTCCAGAAATGACTGTGCAATTCATATGATGCCAAGAAGTGGGAAGATGCTGAGAAGCAGCAGGAAAAGAAGGGTAAAGCAGGGCTAACGGGGGAGGGAAAGATGAGAAAAGACAGTCTGAGGAGGATGCCCTTAAATGCACTTCCTACCCAGGGCAAGGCAGGAAGGGTACTTACTTCACGGAATGGAAGTCCGGCTACCAAGCAGGGCAGCTGGCCAAGCGATGACAAGCGTTTTCAAACTTTCCAGATGAACTAAGCTACTTGGCTGCTTTCAGCCCTAGCCTTTCCAAGATAAAGTATGTTTCATATATGTAGCTAACTATAGGGTGACCAATGAGCCCACACCAAATGGAATGCCTGAAAAAAAAAAGACTACTTATATATGTAAAAATAACTGTGTATAAGACAGTTGAGGTGTGATTCGAGTTTCAGATTTGCTCTACAAACAAACAAACGCTTCAGGTCAACAACCCTGTAAAGTAAAACGGAAGCATTAACCACCAAATGTCGTACATTTCTCCAAGGAACTCACAGATATACGCCTGCCTCTGCCGCCTGCCTCTGCCTCCCAAGAGCTGGGAATTAAGGCTGAGCCACCACATCCGCCCAAAACATCTGTGGTCTGAATCAGAAGTAATAGACCTAAGATGTGTTTTCTAAATAACAGACACTGCAGTGCATGCACGTGTACTATTTATGACGGAACAACATTAGCCCACACAGTAACGGTCACACGAAAGTTTATGAAAATAGCTGAAGTCTTTTTCCAGGAGGAGGCGGTGAGACCAGGTCTCACTCTGTAGCTAAGGCTAGCCAGGCTAGAACTCACTGTATAGCTCAGGCTGGTCTGACTTGTGACAAACCTCTCCTGCTGAGTGCTGGGATTTCAGGTAACACTGCATTCAGTCATTTCCTAAAATATCGGGACAATGATTACAACACTGAGATTTTTAAAAAGCAGTAGCCAGGGGAGGTCTTAACCTAGGTCTGGATTTTCTCTGCCAATGGAACCCACTGCTGAAAGAAATCAGCAACAGAAAAGCAGGAGCAAAAACAAGGTTTCAGAAATATAAAGCCAGTTGAAACATACAAGGCGTTTTTGCAGACCTAGCAGCCAAAGGATAGCAGACTAAAGAGGCTCTAGCTGCCCAGACCCAGGCTCAAGTAAGAAGCAGGAGCAGGGAGCAGAGATAGAAGCAAGGAAGCATTAACAAGGAAAAGATTGGAACCCCTCCGCCTGGTGACTAAGCAGTGACTAATCTCAGCAGAGTGGAGCAGGAGACAAAGTAAAACAGAAAACGAGGGGGAGGAATATGAAAGGGTCTCCAGGGCGACAGAGAAAAAGTGGGTTCCACGAATAGAAAGAGGTGCAGCTGACATCTCTTGATGCAAATATAATTCATTTTTAGACAAAATGAGTTAGCATAGACGAATCCAGGCTAAATGACCTGCAAGCTATGGTAACATTGTTTCTAATGGAGAAAAGAACTTGAAACCAGGGCCTTTCCTGTGTTTTGAGACAGGGATCATGTCCTCCCCCAGGCAGGCCTGGAACTCAGCACATAGCTGGGGCATGCCCTGAACGCCTGATCCTCCAGTCTCTCCAGTGCTGAGAGTACAGAGGCAAACCACAGGGCCCAGTTTCGTCTTAGCAGTTTTGCTTAGTGCTTCTTTTCTGTCAATATTGATGCACTCATTCCCACAACAACACGGAGACAGTTCAGTCATAATCTTCTAGAGTAAGAAAGATGACAGGTGAAACCAACCAGTATTTAGAGCCCTGAAACAGGCATAATCACAAATAAACAAAATCCACTTTCCTCTCTAATCTAGTACTTTTCACACAGGAAAAACAAAAACAAAAAAAACCTCTTTCATTAACAAATAATTATATAGTTTTCCTTTAAAAGCTTATGATAGGAGCTGGAGAGATGGTGGAAGACCCACATTCAATTCCCAGCGCACACATGGCAGCTCACAACTGTCTGTAATTCAAATTCCAAGGGATCCAACATCCCCACACAAACATATAAACAGTGATAATACAGCTCTACAGAGTCCAATGCCTGCTGCACTTAGGCGTGCCTTTACCAAGACTAAGCATAATTTTGTCTATATGGTCTTTTTTTTTTTTTTTTTTTTTGAGACAGGGTTTCTCTGTGTTGTCCTTGCTGTTTTGCTGTTTTGGACATCCCTATAGATCAGGCTGGCCCCAAACTTAGAGATCTTCTTGCTTCTGCCTCCAGAGTCCTGGGATTTTGGGCATGTGCCACTATCGCATGAAACATTGTTTGTTTCTTGTTTTGTTTTAAGACTAAGCATAATTCTGTAATAACCATCATTTCATCTGAAAAAGGCAGTAATTATAAATCTTCATTTGGGTATAATCTGTGGTGGTGGAAGGGACAAAACCTCAAAGTTTCTTTTGATTTTTTTAAGTTACACTAGACAGAGCTCTGGTCTCTTGGTACCAAAGTTTCTATGACTGTTTCAAAATACAACCTGCAATCTCTCCAGTTCCAAAGTATCTTACTATTACGACCCATGCATGAGGTGATGTAAACATGAGGTCATGTAAGTGTGTACGCTCACAGCGTGTTCTTTGGCCATATGGTTTTCCAAAGGCGTGCCACATTCCTTGCGGTCAGTAATGCCAAACACCACCAACAGCTCAACACCCCTGTTCTCCATGGCAGAAACATTTAAACGCTTACCAGCCTGCCGTGTGCCTTAGACACTAAATGTCTGCCATAGATTAACAGAAGCAAGCAACAATAATATTAATAACAACAAAACAATTAACAGCATTTGTCCAACATCCCATCAACTCTGAATTATTTAAATGCTAATTCCTGATGTAAGGCAGAGAATATATTTTAAGTCAGAATTTCTGTACAATTAAATCTAAATGGTGTACCCTGGGAGCAACTAGAATGCCCATGCTAGAAAAGGCATATACTTAAAAATACCCAGAAAGGATAAAATGTCAAGTGGTGAACTAATTAAAATGATTAGATGGGGGGGGGGGAGGAGAAAGGGTGGTAGCTCAGAGATGCAGCAGACTCAGCAGCCTGAGCCCTTGGGGAGGATCCCAAACTCTACTCCAACCCCCCACAAAGAGATCAATCACATCACAGTGAAGTGGTTAATGCCATCTGAAGTTGGTGCATCTATGGTTTTTGGAGCCCTCAAGTCTCTCAGAAAGCACTCAATGTCAGTGCGAATAAGGCCGTGTGCTGCATGGTCTAGTTTTTGCGTGTTGCTTTAAAGACTGGAACTCAGGAAAACGAAGACAATAATCCTAAAGGCCGTCCTAATAAACCACAGACAAACATTTAGACCACCTTCCAATTAAGCATATATCAGGAAAATGGTCCAACCCAAGTACTGACCATCAAAATAAATTGTGTGTGTGTGTGTGTATAATGCATTGTTACCACTTGTGAGCACAGAGAAACAACCAAAGAAATAATAGTTCCTTTCAAAAAAAATCCCATGTAACCAACATTATAAAACATCCATTAAATCAGTGTTTCTAACACTGACACGCAGGGGTAAGAACGATGCCAGCCAACCCAGCTGAGTCAGAGACAGCTTTTAATCCAAAAACGACAATAAGTGCTACAAATTCTCAGGGACGCTGCAACACAGGGCGAGGGTAATTTGAAAGCCTACACGAACTGCTGAATTCTTCAGTGACCCGAAGCGAGGGAAAACTCGGCAAACACCCCGGTTCTTTCTGAACAATGACCTAAATAGTGGACTAGAAAAGGAACAGATGACACATTCCATTCATCTGGTGGACCTCAAAGACGCAAAGGTCGCACAGTCCTTTACAATTTAACGCGACAATGTGATCACTTTAGTCATCATAGTGTCTAGAAAAGGAACGAAAAGGAAAAGAATCAGACCATCAGACGAGAAGGGCTGGTTTCGGAGAACGAAAAGCACTAGGAAGAAGCTAAGTGGTCCGGGAGAAAAAGAAGTTCTGGAACTAAGTGAATTAAGAATGACAGAGAAGCCAAAAGTCCCGCTTGACCAGCCTGTACTGATTTCCAACTTTTCCTAGATGTTAAACAAACAGCTCCTTCAAAGCCAGTGTCCCCGGCCAATCAAAAGAAGTTGGTGACAGGGTCAAAGTGGATGGTGAGTGCCAGGCTAGGTCATCCCCACAAATGTTTCATCCCTGCAGGACCTGAGCCAGCCGCGGGATGGAGTGGGTAGGCCGGTTTGGTGGAGCCAACGACCGGGTGCGGATAGGCTGGGTGGGGGCGCGCGGTGGGGGAGGGGGCGCCTGGGGACACAAGCGCGGCCACTTACGAGGACTTGCTGGGCGCAAAGAAGTCCACGGCGAACCCGAAGTAACTTCCCTCGGGGCCGGCGTACTCGGCGGGGTTTTCGACGTCCAGGTTGAAGGAGCCGGCGAGAGGCAACAGGAGGCCGGGCAGAAGCAGCAGAAAGCCACGGGGGCGAGGACGCAACAGCAGCCACCCGGGAGCAGCCATCGCCGGGGCGCGGAGCCCAAAGGCTACAGTCCCTGTCCCGATGCCCGGTGCGGGCGGCCCGCCGCCTGCGAGCGCCCAAACTGCTGTGCTGTGCTGTGTTGCGCTGTGTTGTGCTGTGCGCTTGCGGTCAAGGGCGGCCGAGCGGCGCGGAGGCGAGAGGCTGAGCTGGGCGGCTACCCAGGGGGCGCGGTGCGCGACGCGGGACACCGGCTAGGTCGCTCGCTAGCGAGGCGGCTGGCATTGAGTACTGGCGAGGCGAGCGTCGTACCTCAGGCCGGGAGCTGCTTGGGCTGGGGGGGAGGGGGGAGAAAGGAGGGAAGGAGGAGCCTGGGAGGCCGGGCCGCCCGCCGAAAAAGGAAGTCGCGCTCATGGTGGCCTCCCACAGGAGAAAGCCGAGCGCACTTCCGTGCGCGCTGGCAGCGGGTCCTCGGAACCCGCCCCGGGGCTGCGGCCCAGACCCAAAGGACCTGGGGACACCGGCCGCGCGCCTCCACCTGGGCCTTCCGGCCAACCCAGCCAGCCAGAGGATGGCGACGATGAAGCGAAAGAGGCCCAGGCACACCTCGTTCCCCTGTTCCTCCTGGAACTTCTGGGAGACTTTTGTGTTTAAGAATGCGGAAAACGTTATCCGCTTCTCGAACTTCTGCTACTTAGGCCGGCGGGCACTCAGCCACAGAGAACTCTGTAATTAAGTGCTCTTTCCCTCCCCTTCCATTCCCCACACACTGAACTTAATTATAAACTCCCAGAAGGTTGCTAACACTGCCCCTCCCAGAAGCGGTGTGTGGACCCGGACCTCGCGGGCTGACAAAGGTGTTGGGAAGGCAGAGTAGGTGATGAGCCTTCCAAATCCACCCAGAAGAGTTCAGGCCTCATTCCTGCTAGGAGGAACGAGGATTTGGAAAATTGATAGTCGGGTTAGAGAGTTCAGGTAAACATGATTTTAGAGCTGGAGGCAGAAAGACAGGAATGGAAACGGAGCACTTGAGGTTCAGTGCCTGTGGACAAGGGCGGGCTGAGTGCTCCTTCTATACAGAAATCTTGGCCCGCTTCTTTAGATTCCTACTTCCTTTTCAGTCAGTGAATGACTAAAGAGTAAAGTTTGCTCAGAACCGGCGCACTGGAAAGAAGGCTCGGCGCTTAAGTGTTCCCTCCACTTTGGTAAAGTGGTCCAGCACCCACATGTTGGCTCACAAACATCTGTAACTCCAGTTCCAATTCCTCTTCTGGCCTCCATGGTGCACACACTTATGTGCAGACGAAACACTCATTCACATACAACATTTTTTTTTTCATGTTTGCTCAGAGTCTTCCTATGTAGCACATGAAATGTTGAAGAATTTAGTGACTGAGTCGGGTGTGATGGCAAATGCTTTTGAACCCTGGCACTAGGAAGTCAGGCAGAAAGATCAAGCCTGTGTAGCAAGTTCCAGGCGTATGCCAGGTTTGCATGTGAGACCTTGTTTCAAAGAAGATAAAAAAGAGGAGGAGGAGAAAGGGGAGAAGGAGGAGAAAGAGATCCCTGTCACAAACGACAGGGAAGTACCTCAGTGACAGCATATATTCATCTAACATTAAATAGTTTAGTTCTATGTGGTGTCATGTACACACTTAATTGGGTTAATCATTTTGATTTTTAAAATTTCACTAAAAGATGCTCAGCATAACCATAGGGTGGTCTTACCAACCACAGGCCAGCATCTTTGCCAAAGCAATGACAGGAAATCTACTGTGAATATGTATACATAAGATCATGTACCAGGCCAGGCAGTGGAAGCGCACGTCTTTAATCCTAGCACTTGGGAGGCAGAGACAGGCGGATCTCTATGAGTTTGATATCTCCTGTTCTACAGAAATAGTTCCAGGGAAGCCAGGGATTCACAAAGAATCCTTGCCTCAAAAAACAAAACAAACAAAAAAGATCCTGTTGTTGCTCCTTACTCCTTGACACCATTTGGGGTTAGAGTCTGAGGTTTAAGGAGATAGTGGCTCATGGACAGCAAGACCGTCCTCTGTACTCCCAGTGACCTCTGTATCTCACTCTGAAAACCACACAGCTCTCCAGACAGAAGCTCTCAATTCTAAAGATGAGCCTGGGGTTTCCTGTTCAGATAGTCGACATGCACAAATTTTAAGAGGAATCACGACTTTTACTGAATCGAGATTTAAAATGACAACATCGTCTTTCATGATAACTACTTGAGGAAATTTGTTTTTTAAATGTTTTTAAAATTGGTACCTACTCTAACTATATGGTTGTTGTAGTATGGCCACCTGTTTGTTCCCGGCTGCTCAGCCCCGAAATAACCACACAGAAACTATTTTATTTGCTGTACTGTCTGGCCAATAGCTTAAGCATATTTCTGGCTAACCCTCATATCTTAATTTAACCAATTTCCATTCATCATCTGTGTATCACCATGAGGCTATAGCTTACTGGCAAAGTTTCAGCATGTCTATCTTTGGTGGTCACTTCATGGTTTCTCCCTTACCTTACCTTTTTTCTCCCAGCATTCAGTTTAGTTTTCACCACCTAGCTCTGTTCTGTCCTGCTCTGCTATAGGCCCAAGACAGTTTCTTTATTGACCAACGGTATTCACAGCATACAGGGGGGCTTAATCCTGTCTTAATACAGCGCTTTAATAACCACAAAAATTCCAGTTCTGGAAGTTATTCTTCCACATGGGCTGCTCCACTGATGAACAACTGAATTAGGGCTTAGACGCAAAAACCTCAGCATTTCCTGTATGTTTAAAATTTGCTAATACAGGATCTTCCTTTGCCTTTGGGGGTGGGAGCAGGTAGGACTGGAACTCACATTTCTGTCTCAGCTTGCCCAGTGCTGATTACAGGAGGGAACCACTATACCCAGGAACCTCTCACCCTTCATTTTGACCAAGGCTTCATGCACCCAAGACTGGCCCTAAAACTGTCTAAGTCATTGAGCATTCTCAAGGTTGGGCTTCTGACCTTGAGCTTCTGACCTTCTTGTCTATACTTCCTAAACTCTGGGACTATAGGTGTGTATCACCTGTTTTAAAATGTTTTAAACTAAACAACAACAACAACAAAAAAAAACACAGAACACAGTAGTTTTTCAATTCCATGACTCATAAATAGAATCATGTGGGCCAGTTTGAAATGTGGCCAGCAAGTCCCCAAATGGTTACTAATGCTTCCCTCCTCCTATTCTTTTTTGTATAAACATGACCTTGCTCTTTAGTGGAGATTATAAATTAAACTTCTAAAGCACATTTCCTTAAGGCTTACGATAAATGTAAATACTTATAACCAGAAGGCCTTTACCAACGGTCGTGTCGGGGCTGGATAAGTTCCTGTAGAGACAACCAAAGATGCCGGCACAAGCTGTCAGGATCTTCAAGACAATTGATGGGAAGAAAGGGTACCGTCAGGATCAGGGACGCTATTTCCTGTCCCATTTCCTTTCGGCAGCTGCTCGAAGCTACACAGCTGCTTTGTGAGTATGGAGAGAGCATACTTAGCAGTGAAAGTCATGGTCTAGGGATTGCAGAGCAGGAAGAGCGAGTTTCTGAGAACTGTGGATCCCCGTTCCAGGCTTGGATTATATGTCTTCACAGCGTACTATTCAAGATGGTGCACCTATCTTTTTAAAGATGCTAGTATTTAGGTTTCCAGCTGTACTTTCTTTTCTTTTGTTCATGTTAGCAGAACGTGATGTCCCATACCCTAAACAAGTTGGGTCTCTGAGTTTGAGGCCAACCTAGTCTACAGAGTGAGTTTCAGTACAGCTAGGGCTACACATAGAAACCCTATCTTGATAATCAAAAGGAAAAATATGTATTTATTTATTTTGTATATACAGGTGTTTGTGGGATACCTCTGTATTCTATGAATATGTTTTATTATCATTGGTTATTAAAAAGGCTGTTTCAGTCAATGGCTTGGAAGCCAGGCAGGAAATCTGAACAGAGATATAGAAAGTAGGCGGAGTAAAGGAGATGCCATGTAGCCACCAAAGGAGACAGACACCCCAGAACCTTACCAGTAAACCACAGCCTTGTGCCGATACACAGACTAATAGAAATGGGTTAATTTATGATTTAAGAGTTAGCGAGGAACATGCCTGAGTCATTGGCCAAGCAGTGTTGTAATTAATACAGTTCCTGTGTGGTTATTAAGGTCTGAGCGGTTGGGAAACAACGAGCAATCTCCATCTACAGGTGTTTTATCTGCATGGACATCTGTACACAAGAAGAGGACATTGGGTCCTATGGGACTATAGTTACATATGGCTGTGAGCCATCATGGGGGTGCTGGGAACTGAACTCAGGACCTCTGGGAGAGCAGCCAGGGTTCTTAACTTCTGAAGTACCTCTTAATAAATCAGACTAACTGATACCTCCACCTTAGTCTTCTTAACAAGATATTTAATGCAAGATATTTAATGCGAGTGAAAAGTTTTTGTTTTCTTTCCTTGTTTAGGTAGAAATTATTCTACATATGTTTTCATTCCTGATTGGTTGGTTGGTTGGTTTAAGTAGCTAAAGCAACAGTGTCGCCTGGCAGTTGTCTTGCTGATGTGAAGTTATCTTTATTTACTGAAGCTAGAGTGAGTTCACTTTCTAGTGAATTTAGAGCTTTACGTACTCTGTGGAAGGACTTCCATGACTGTCATTCATATAACAAAAATGAATTTAGTTCTGGTGAGTGATCTACTTATCGGATGGGCTGGTGCCTTCCCTGGCTTTGTGCATTTTAAATGATTCACTTGGGGTTTTCCTAAAGTCTCCACCACTACTTCCTCTAAAGTTGAAGGGATAATTAAGAATTTCTACCTTTCCATCATTATGGAAATGTGCCAGGGGATTTTCATGAAATGTTAAATATTTGGATTTAACCAGAGATGATTATGTTCACTAATACAGAGCTCTTAATTACATAATTTAATTAGGCTTAGATCACAGGAGCAAAATGAATTAAAGACTTGGTACAGTTTCCACGTTTTTTTTTCCCCAAAGGATAAAGGTATTTCTATGGTTAGATTTTTGTTTTGTTTTTCAAGACAGAGTTTTTCTGTGTGGCCCTGGCTGTCCTGGACTTGCTATGTAGACCAGGCTGGCACCAACTCAGACAGCTTCACCTGCCTCTGCCCCCCAAGTGCTGGG